CCCTGGTGCTCCACACGTACTCTATGCGCTACCTGCTCCCGGGCGTCGTGTTGCTGGGCTCGGCCCCCACCTACCTGCTGGCCTGGGCGCTGTGGCGGGTGCTGTCGGTGCTGCTGCCCGCCCGCCTGTACCAGCGAGTGGACGACCGGCTCTACTGCGTCTACCAGAACATGGTGCTCTTCTTCTTCGAGAACTACACCGGGGTCCAGGTGAGGCGCGGCCCGGACGGCGCAGCTTTTGCAGCCCCCCCCCCGCCGCGAGCACGTGCCACAGCACCCGGCCTCCCGCCGCGGGCAGCGGTATGGGAGGGGGGAGGAGTTTCTGGTGCTCACTTTCGGGGTCCTTCTGCAAGGTCCTGCTGAAGGCTGAGTGTGTCCCCGGGTGCACCCCACCCCCGCCCCCGGTCGGCTGTTCCTGTCCGTCTCGGTGCCCGGCAAAGTAGGACATGGAGTCCGAGGTGGTGATGGTGGGACTGGCCCCATCTGCACTTCCGAGGGCTTTTAGATTAGGAAGTCCTCTAGACGCTGACCGAAGTGACAGCGGTTGAAGGACACCTCTCGCCTCGCGTTCCACCCGGGTGAAAAGCGAGAGCCTGGCGAGGAAATGAATACATTGGTTACAATAGGAGCTTCACTCTGGCTCCAGTTCTCCGCCAGCTTCGCCTGGGCTTCAATGTGGGGCTGATCTCATGTCAGATTGCTTTCTGGCCGCTACTGTTTCTTTTTCCTGGGGAGGCTGAACTCGGAAAACAGCAAAAGTAGAGAAGCCCTCCTGACGTGACTTTGGTTATGTGAAGTCTCAAACTTACAGATCTGCTTCCCTTTGAGTTTTCAGTTTGAGAGAATGAGCAGAATGGAGCTGTATCATCTATTCCTTCCCCCTCCCCCCCCCCCCATTTCGCAGCTCTTTATGTGTCAGGGGATGCAGTTGGGGGCAGATCCCTTACTGAGTTTGCTCCAATAGGAAATTATGTCTGAGGAGGGGAGTTAGGAGAGGCTAGGAATCACAGAAATCACTTTCTTTTCCACGTCCAGGTTTTCTGAACAATTGACATTTAGAATGGGATTTCATTTAGAATTTTCAGGAATTCTAGGCTAATGGCTTCCTCCCTCCCTTTTACTTTACAAAGTTTGCCACGTGAATGTATGTTCAATCGTGGGTAAGCATTTAATTCCGCATATTTTCAGTAGCTGTTGGGACAGCTGGGAATGCCCCTTAAAGTTGCTGACCTTGCACATGGCAAGACCCCTCAGAGGCTCAGGGACCTCTGCTCAAGTTCGTATTCTTGCTGCAGAGACATTCGGGATGAGTCAGAGTGAAGCAGAGTTAGTGAGTTTATTGATTGGAAGGAAGGACATGCGTTTGAGGACAGCGGAGTGGAACGTGCCCCAGCGCTACAACCGCTGTTGTCGGGGCGATTTTAGGGCTTTTGGAGTTACTGGTTTGAAGGAGGAAATCCTAAAGCTAAGATTAAGGGAAATAGAAAATGTGTTCCTGTACTCCTTTTCAATCTCGAGCTTTAAAGACAAAGCAGGGTCTCACCGAGCAGTCCCGGTGGTCTTGGACTCTTTACATAGACCTCATAGTCCTCAAACTCACAGAGATCCCCCTGCCTCAGCCTCCTAAATGCTGGGATTAGAGGCGTGCACTACCACCGCCCAGCCTGTATCTAAACTCTTGTCAATCGATTCCATTTGAGGAGGGAGAAGGTGAGGATGGGGGGCTTCTTTTGCTGTCCAGAAGCAGATTGTATGGCTATTACATTGGATCCTATGTAAATATAGGTTCTTTCCCATTCTCATTTCTGAGATCATATTCATTGCTAAAATTCTGAATAATTTGTGTATCCTTCCAGGTTAAAAAATCTGTGTGCATGTATGTGTGTATGTACAAAGGTATTCATATTCATAATTGTGAGGATACATGGCATGCGTATAGAGGTCATAGGACAACCCTGGCTATTGAGCTTTTCCTTGTACTTTGAGTCAAGGTCTCTTGCTCTCCCCATGTGTGCCGGCTCAGCTGACTTTTGAGTTTCCAGATCCTCTCCTGTATCTGCTTCCATCTCATTGTAGGAGCAATGGATTGCACAGTGGCATGTCTGGCTTCATGTGGGGATCTGAATTTAGGCCCTCATGCTTGTGACAAGTGCTTTACCCACTGAGTCATCTACCCACACCATGTAGAGCTTCTCAGGTTCTGGTAGTCTGTCACTACTGAAAAGTGAGCAGTGTGTCCCCTGTACCATTTATTCCTTCAGGGTAAGTAATGGGATGTTTACGTTTTATTAATCTAAACTCCACTGTAAAGGGACTGGAGGGATGAAGAGACATTGGTGGGTAAACAGACTGCTGTGTAGGCCTGAATTTGCTTCCCAGAACCCTCATTGACTGTTTCACAGCTACCTGTAACTCTGGCCACAGGGTGGGGGTCGTCTGATACCTCTGACCCCCTTGGGTGCCAACACTCACGTGCATATATCATCACCCTTCAGTGTACATACTTTAACATTATTATTTTTAATCTTAAAAAAAAGGAAATGAAAGCAACTGGAGTCTTTTTTTTTCTTTTTTTGGTTTTTCAAGACAGGGTTTCTCTGTAGCTTTGGAGCCTGTCCTGGAACTAGCTCTTATAGACCAGGCTGGTCTTGAACTCAGAGATTTGCCTGCCTCTGCTTCCCAAGTGCTGGGATTTAAGGGCATGTGTCACCACCGCCCGGCCTGGAGTCTTTTTAACTTTGTAGAAAGTTCATTTCTTCTTAAGGCTACCACAGCAGATGACCTCAAGCTGAGTGGCTTAAACAGGTCCGGTTATTCTCACAGCTCTGGAGGCCAGAAGTCTGAAATCACGGTTTAGGTTGATTTCATTCCCTCTAGGATTTTTGTCTCTTTCAGTTTCTGCATGCTGGCCATTTTCTTTGACTAGAGGCCCCTCCATATCTGCCTCATAGTGTCGTTTCCCCTTTTCTGTCTCAAATTTCCATCTCCCTTTATATTGTGGCGACATTTGTCATTGGATTGTAACCTGTAGGCCCACCTAGATGATCTAGGCTAACTTTGATCTCCTGGAGATTCTTAATTACATCCTCAAGACTGAACAAAGCATTTATTTACTGTGTGGGTGCACGTGTTCCATGGTGTCTGTGTGTGGAGACCAGAAGACAGCTTTCACGAGTCCCTTTTTGCCTTCCACCATGTAAGTCCCAGGGATTGAATTTAGGCTGTCAGGTTTAGCAACAAGCACCTTTGCTGGCTGAGCCATCTTGCCAGCCTCAGAGATATCTTTTCAAAAGGGAATGTGCACAGCGTCTAAGGCTTGGGGACCACCGTTCAGTCCTTTATAGCAATGAGTTCTAAATACTCAATATTTTGTTGTTGTTGTTTCTCAGTCTAGCTTTGTAGCTTAGCATTTGTTTTTGCTTTCTTTGATACACAAGTAAAAGGCTGGCTTCCTCTGCTCTGGTTATTTTAAATAATCTCCTATAATACTTTAATCTCTATTTTATAAATTTGTAAAATAAAATAAAGGTGGTAATGCCTTAACCGTATACGTGTTAGGCCCAAGGGCCTCTTCCATCTTTGTCTAGGGGAATACTAACCTTCTCTCCTTTTCTTGAATGTTGTCTTCTGACCTTCATAGGCACAAGCTCAGGTTAGTCCCTCCCCATAAACAAACAAACAAACAAACAGATGTGGGACTAGAGTGATGGCTTAGTGGGTAAGAGTGCTTACCAAGTGGATGAAAAAAAAAGAAAAAGGGTGTGACTGCTTCTAGGTATGGGAACTTAATCACACTAAACTGGGCCATGGGGGAAGCTGGGGAAGGGAGTGGGAGAGAGGGGGGGAAATAGGTGCAGCAGCCTGGAGGCCAAAGGTACAAAAGGGGTGGCTAACCATAATATCTGGATTATATAGGGAAGAACCTCTGGGGGAAGGGCAGCCCAGACCAGGCAGAAGAGTTCAGGGTAGAGGACAGAGTATGCCAACCATACCATGTAACAGGTAGGGACTGAGGGATGCTGGGAGAACCTGGAGGCCAGGTCCAATTTGATATGTTAAATAGGCACCTCAGCCATTTGTCCAGGGTTTGACAGTTAACACATGAAGTCCTGAGTTCAAATTCCTAGGAACAACACAAAAAGCCAGACATGGCTATGTGTACCCGTAGCCCCAGCACTGTGGTGGGTGGAGACAGGAGGATCATTGGAACTTGCTTGCTGCCATCCTTGCTCCCAATTTTAGTGAAGGCCCTGACTCAAGGGAATAAGGTGGAGAGTGACAGAACAGGGCACTAGAGGTCTTCCTCTAGCCTCCAGGAGTGTGCATGGGCATGCATGGACACGCGTGTATACACCACTCACACCCACATCCCAAAATTAATTCATGCTTTCAAGTGTTAGAGTATTTCTCTTCTCGTTGCAATGAAATCCAATAGAAGTTGGTTATTGGTGTTTGCAGGCCAGCCTTCTAGTGATATGGTGCACGTGTCTTCTAATACCTGGTGAAAGTTTTTGTCAACATTGTATTTCTGCTTAAATTTGTTATTAACAGTTAGAATTTATTTTAAAATATATTTCTCACTAATGGCCTTGACTGCCAATTTCTGATTCAAATATTAGTATTGTAATAATAAAATTGTAAAAACAATAAGTCTTAGGTTATTTACTTACGAATTTATTTTGGGATATGGAGTCTCAGTTGGTTCAGGCCAACCTTGAATCTGAATATCCTCCTCGAGTCTCCAGAATAGCTGGGATTATAGGCCTGTGCCACCCACCACTTCTTGGCTGAGATCTTTTATGTAAAATAAGTTTAAAATTTTCAATGGACCTGTTTTACACTACAGAATAGTTTGAAGGTACTGGGAGCAGATGGTGTTTAGGTATGCGTTGCAGCTGTTTGTTCAGTATGTGCAGACTCCTGATGTCTCGGCTTTGTACCTTGCACAGAAGCTTCTTTCAAGTCCTCAGAAACACAGGCGTTCTACCTGGAGGCCGTAGAAAGCTGGTTTGTTCTTTCTGGCTTATCAAGCATCCTAAACTTCTGAGTCAAGTTTGCATTGAATCTTGCTGAAGGCAGCTAAGCTCCTGGTATGAAATATGTTTACTTAGAGTTAAAGGGGACTTACAGGTCATCCAGTCTGACTCTTATATTGGGTCTGAATTGTTTCCACATTCCACTATCAGTGATCTTTAAAAAATGCCAATTGT